TCTACGCTTTGCCATGCTCTTCGGCGTCACTGTGTGTGTGTGTGTATGCGTGTGATTGTGTGTGTACGTGTCTGCTTGTGTTTGTGAGCGAGAGCGAGAAAGTATCGAGTACTGAGTATATATTGAATATTGAGTATTTGGTATGACAAATGGATATGAAGGTAATTTGCATAAGACTTTACTTTTTATTTAAGTATATTTTTTTTATTGAAATTTGTTTTTATTTAATTTTGTACTTTTTTTTTTTTTTGGTATTGGTGTATTTGCACTTTGAACGAGTCGAGTTGAGTTGAGTTGAGTTGAGTTGAGATTGATTGATTGATTGACTGAGTTGATTTGAGAGTCGATTGATTGATTGATTGACTGACTGAATTGATTTGATTTGAAAATATATTGCTTCTCACCCGTGTGAGTCGTTAAATGTTTGTTCAGGTAATCCTTAACAGTGAACGCCCTGCCACAAAAGCCACATCTAAATGGTTTCTCACCTGTATGTATGCGAGTGTGCTGTTTTAGTGTATTCGATTGAGTGAAGGACTTGCCGCAGTAGGAGCACGTGTAGGGGCGTTCTTTGGGCGTGGCGCTGTTTTTTTTTTTTTTTTTTTTTTTTACAATATATTTAGAGTATTTGCAGTGCAGGGTAAAAAAAAAAACAGAAAAAAGAACAAGAGAGAGAAAAAGATGAGAATAATTTGATTAGTAACATTCATTATCTGAATAATATTTCATTGGACACTTAAACAAAGAGAAAGAGAGAGAGAGAGAGAAATATATATATACAGAGAAAACACAATAACAACGTTTGAAGCGCATGGGCCACGTCCCATGGCACTTGAAGAACGCGCCCATGCGCTCAGCCTCGGGAYTGATCTTAAGGAAAACAAACAAAAATATATATGTATATATATATAGTAAATAAATGGTAAATTGGTTAAACAATAATATCAAGCGAGATGCTGCCAACAACCGTTCAACATTTGAGCTCAAGATCTGAGCTGAGCTGAGCAAATAATCAAGAATTCGAATCAATATCTCTGCTCTGCGCTCGCTCTCGATTTTCATTGCTGCTGCGAGAGTCTGTTTGCAGCATCTACATCTTTGTGTTGTCGATTTCTTTCAATAGATTAGCGTATAAATGTGGAATTTACTCTGCTTCGCCCGTGTGTATTTTGCGGTGCATGTTCAGCGTGCCGGGCGTCTTAAATGTTTTGGGGCAATCGGGACATTTGTGCCGGATCTTGTGCGCCAGATCCGCGGGCACAGATTGCGTGCTGACCAGGACACTGGTGGCGGCGCCAGTTGTGCCCGCCGGCTGGACACCAGGATTCGCTTGTATGGCATAGACAGGCACTGAATTGACCACATCGCCGCTATCGCTCAAACTAAGTGGTTCCTCCTTAATGATGACCTGCAATCAAGTGAAGTAGATGTATTTAAAATGGACATCTTAGACTTATATACTAAAGTCACAAGAGACTAGCAGATACAGTACAATAAACGAGCTAATATAATACTGATAGCAATGGTATACCATGAGCAAATCGTACCTGCGGATGTGCTACTGTTGCTCCAGTGCCGTTCTTTAGCAGTTTCACTGTTAGGGGCGGCACTTTCTGCGTTGACGGATCGTTCAGGTCCTCCTGATGCTGTTGCTCCTGGAGTTCACGTTGTCGCTGTTGCTCCTGCTGCTGTTGCTGTTGTTCGAGTTGCTGGTGATGGTGATCCTGCTGATGGTGTTGCACTTGCTGCTGTTGTTGTTGTTGCTGCTGTTGTTGTTGCTGCTGCTGTTGTTGTTGCTGCTGCTGTTGTTGTTGCTGCTGGTGCTGCTGCTCTTCGGGCGTCAGTCTCATATCACGTGGCGCTATAGCTGGCATTTCATCCGGCGTCACCGGTGCCTCCTGATGATCCATAAACGCCTGCTGTCCAGTTGCCAACATCGCCGCATTGAACACGTTGCCACAGTGCGAGCATTTATATTCGTTGGGATTCTGAGTCACAGAATTGACACCATAAACGCTACACACAATGCAGCGCGCTAAAAATGCCGTCTGATGCGTCAGCCGATGGTGCTCATCCACCTCCAGCGCACTAGCAAACTTATCATCACAGTTGGGACACGCATAGCTAAGCGGCTTCAGTTGCTGCTGCTGCTGTTGTTGTTGCTGCTGCTGTTGTTGATGCTGCTGCTGCTGCTGTTCGATGAGAGCGCTCTGGGCATTGAGTGAGATGCCATGACAGAGCTGCATATGCTCGGCCGCATGCTGGATGCGCTCGAACTGCTGATGGCACATGGGGCAGTAGTGCGGACTAATCACATTCGGATCCATGCTGAGATTGGGAAGAAATGTTGTCTTAAGCGTGTCCATGCTGTGGCTGGTGGGGACTACTGCTGATCCTCCTCCTGCTGCTGCTGCTGCGGCTGCTGCTGCGGCGGCGGCTGCGGCTGCTGCAGACGTTATATTGTTGGCTATCACGGCGGCAACTTGATGCGTCGGCTGTCCCTGCTGCGTGTGCTGATGCGGCTGATGGTGTTCCTCGGGACGTGGCAGACGCAATTCCTGTGGGTTTGTGCTAGACTTTAACATTTCTCTCTTCAAGCTGGGGCAGTCAGGCAGGCAGACAAGCAGTCAGGCAGGCTTAATATAATTGCTGAGTAGTTTTTTTACTCTTTTTTTTTTTTTTTTTGCTTTTAGTTTAGTTTAGTAAGCGGCTTAGGTATGCGCGTGTATTTCCTGCGGCACCAGTTCTGTAATGATGCATTTTTCAGGCAAAAACTCAGCATTTCATATTAATTAGTTCGTTAAGCGTAGCCCAACCAAGAAAATTCGCATTCAAATGTTTCTTCTGTGTTACATGTTTACATGCTCAACATGCTAGCAATACCTGAGAAGAAACATCCGAGTAATGATTAATTTCAGTTACAATTCTTTGAAGTCATGACTATATATAAAACTCTATTTAAGAAATCATTACATTATTGGTTTTGCTTTGAATAGAATTCTATCTGTTCTTTATGATGTGCAAAAAATAACATTTAAAAATTCGGTTAAATATGATCTTTTTGAAAACTGATTTCTGTCAAATAAATATATACTAAAGTCGAAAACTATACTGAAATCAATCGTCATTAAAATCAATTTTTAATCAAATTTAATCAATTTAATTTCAATATAGACTAATAAAAATTTTCAAAGTCCAAATCTAAAAATTATTAAATACTGGAAGATTGGAATAATATTCAAGTAACATTTCAAAAACAACATAACCTAAACTCAGATATTTTTATTTAATATTATGCGAGTTGATTTTCAAAGATTTCAAAAATCTTACTCGGCCGGGTATACGACTTTTCAATACATATAGCAATGGCATGCAAAGCTTACTTCCTTTTTCATGCACTTAGCGGCTACGTGCGTAAAAAATAAGTATGTATTTCGCCAAGCGAGGCGAAGAAAGCTGCGGTACGGCGAGATAATGAAAGCTGTGCCTGTAGCTGCGCTCACGCTCACACACACAAGCAAGAAGAATGGAAAAAAAGCGGGCTGTCCTGTTGCAGCAAGTGTGAAGCAAAAAAGGCATAATAATAGTAGAAAACACACAAACACACACTTAGAAGAGAGCAAATAGCAAAGGCGGCGCAAATTAAGCGTAAATTAGCACAGAAAATCAGAAATTTGACGAGGCTAGTGACGGCGGAGGCGGTGGTGGTGGTGTTGGGGGCAGCGGCAGCGGTAGCGACGACTGTCACGGCGGCGACTCTCGCCTCGCGCGCAAAACGAAACGAAATCGGAAATCAGTTGGCGCTGTCGCTGCTGCGGCGGCTGCTTCTGCTGCTTCTACCGATCTCTGTGCTTCTGTTTCGCTGCTTCTAGTTGTGTTCCCCCAAGTTTGACCCCCAAGTCTCCCCCCTCGACACACACACAAAGACACAGACACATGTACATAGTCAAACACACACACACACGTATGGGGACAGGCAATGCGTTCAAATCGAAAATTTTTTCGGTCCGTCACTGTCATATTCTAAATTCGGAATTCTATTTTGATTTTTTTCTTTTTTTGTGCTGCGTTTGCTACGCGTTTTTATTCCAAGCCCTTACCAGCGTTTCCACGTATTGCACTTATATTTTATAACGGCCGTTTTATGGCGAATTTGCCAATCAATTCAACAACATTTTCTTTGTATTTGTACAACAAAAATACATTAACTTTTCACTTTTATTATTATTTTTGGCGAAAAATGTACAAGTACAACAAAAAGTATCGAAGACATCGATACTTTTGCGTATTTCACTTTGTACTGCAATTCCGACATCGATTACATATCGATATTTGTGACTGTGCTGCCAGACAGTTAAGATAAACTTCTAAACAGCAATAACCGTGGTGAGCACATTGATTTATGACGTCAGGTCTACAAGTTTCATATACATACTATATAGTCGCTGATATAATATATAGATAAATAATATTAATTTGAGTATTGATTGAAAATAACATTAATACAAAGTAACCACATACAGTAATTTCACTGCATACTAAATTTTTCCACAATAGCAACAGATGCATTAGTTTAATTATATAGGAGGACCATTAAGTTTACAAAAGTCTTAGTTGTTAGTTATAATAAGAACGTTCTCATCTCGAACACAAATGCCAACATTTTGTAAGCGCACCTTATAAATGGCTTCTGCCATGCTCCTCACCTAATATAATAAAGTTAATGATTAGCCATTTTTAAGTTATTGAAATTTTAAGCTATTGAAATTTCCTTATATATACTTAATTTTGGTTGTTTTCGACCACTTAGCCGATCTGTGCTGAAGTGCCGCCAAACTTCAGCCTGGACAACATAGGAAAATCTGATAATGTGACGTCACAAGAGTGCTGTTAGTTAACATTAAAAGTAACGKGACTGCTCTTTGCGCAACCTACTGTGTCTTTTAACAGTGTAATGTGCTTCTAATTTCACAATATAGAAAAACAAAAAAGTTGAAAAGTTGGAAACAAAAGTGATTGAAGAGAATTTCAATAGATTTGTCAATAAAATAAAACAAAAAGGCCTAGCAGGCAACTTGGTCAGATTGTAATTCAGTAAAAGTAAACAAGGGACCAAGGATAAAAGTCGAACAAACCTGAGAAAAAGTTTGTATTTTTCAAAATTCCTGTGACTTGTACATAATAATATTCGATTTGTATGTTCAATAGAATGTCGTCGCCTTGGTCCAAGGTTAGCAATGAGCCCGTGCAGACAATCAACTTGGCGGACATTATGTCCGAACAGTATGCGCATCGGCTGCACGACCAGGAGCTGAAGCAACAGCAAAAGAGGCGGCAACAAAACGAGACACTTCCCACTGCCACGCCCACAAATATTGAGAGTTACTCAAATGTAGCCAGCACATCTGCTAAAGCCAGCCAGAAACCGACGCTCAGCGATGCAGGCGAATGGGAGAATTATTCGATGCTCCTCAATGACGAGGGTAAAGAGCAGACCGAACCGTTACCGGCGAGCCTTTTGAGCCTGCTGGAAGATGAAGCCGAGTCGGATGCTGTCATAGCTCAGATGTTGCAGTCTCAGTTCGATCACGAGTACAACGAGGAGCTGCGACGCATCGAACGGCAGCAGAATAAACAATCCAAGGTCACGGTGACGCTCAATAAGTTTCTGCGCAGTGGAGATGCTGAATTTCTGCACGATACAGAAGCGGGCGCAGACGAGGAGGACGATGAGTTGGCGTACCTAAAGCAGGACTGGGATTGCTTTGAGACGAACGAAAAGATGCTAGAGGCCATACCAAAGTGTGGCTTTAAACTGGATAAAGAGGGCGAAATGATAACCAAACACGATCCACAGCTTTGCGGTGTGCGCAATGCACAGCGAGTGATGTCCTTTCCGCCGGAGTTTCCCACGGGCGATGGCGCCTGCTTCGACATGAAGCTATCCAATAAAGTAGATATAACTCTCTTCTATATTTATATATATTTGACTGTATTAAATCCAAATCCATTAACAGGTCTTCAATCAGCTGAAAGCTTATTCGCGTCGTGGTCGTGCGGATCGCAAAGAAAAGGTAGCCACAGCTGAAATGGGCGTGGATGCAGCCACACGTCTGCTGCTCTACAAGTTAATAAACAATCAGATATTGGAGCAAATCAATGGCATCATATCCACCGGCAAGGAGGCAGTTATTCTGCATGCCAACTCTGATGCCAGCTACACAGGCACCAACGAGCACGGCCATGGCAATGGAGTGCTGATGCCAGCTGAACTGCTGCCCAAGGAATGTGCCATCAAGGTGTTCAAAACCACGCTGAATGAGTTCAAGCAACGCGATCGCTATATCAAGGACGACTATCGCTTCAAGGATCGCTTCAGCAAGCAGAATCATCGCGTCATCATTAACATGTGGGCGGAGAAGGAAATGCACAATCTGATGCGCATGCAGAGCATTGGCCTGAATGTGCCCGATGTGGTGGTGCTGAAGAAACATGTCCTGGTCATGCGCTTCATCGGAGACAATCACAATGCCGCGCCCAAGCTGAAAGATGCACGTCTGAGCGCCGCTGAGCTAAGCTGCGCCTACGAGGAAATCGTGGCGGCAATGCATAAGCTGTACAATGAGGCGAAGCTGGTGCATGCCGATCTCAGTGAATACAATATACTGTGGTACGAGGGCAAGTGCTGGTTCATCGATGTGGCCCAGAGCGTCGAACCGGAGCATCCCAGCGGCTTAGAGTTTCTGATGCGTGACTGCGACAACATTATCAGCTTCTTCGAGCGCCGCGGCCTGCCCAACATCTACACCAAGGAGCAGCTGTTCGAGTTTATTACCGCGCTGAATGCGGAAACACATAATGCGGCCATGCTGGAACGCATTCATACGCGTGGCGCCTCCATCAATCAGGCAACGGTGCCCAATCAAATGGAATGCCCCGATGAGCTGAAGCCGCTCGAATATCCCTTCGAGCTGGCCTGGGAAAAGTCATTGCTGGAGCGACAAATGCGACACACAGAGGCAGAACGGGACCAGGAGGCGAAGGAGGAGGTAGAGGAGTCCATTGATCAAAGCGAAACGAAGCTAAGCAACGACACTGACAACGCCAACAACACTGCCAAATGTCCTTGAAATATGTCATGCGTGTTGGTACTTGATTTGAATTTATAAAATTCAAGCAACAACCGAAAATGAATTTACTTTACTGTGCAGCTCGATATGGAATCTAGATATTGTTTTAAGTTTTTATTATTTTTTCTTAAGCAATATTGAAATAGATGTTAAGTTTGAGCTCGAAACCTACAAGGTCATATTAAGCGACAGAACGACAAGAGTTTCCCTATATATTGAACATAAAAACAAAATTTCTTTTGCTTTGCTCCTTAAATTAGCAAATTGTGTAGGTTTTTGTTTAAATATATCCTAAGCAACTGTTTAAACTCAAGGTCATAGTAAACATAGTTCTACAGGCAACAATGTCCCTACATATTTATATACCATATATAGGGTATATAGGTTTGTTTGTTTACTTTATCTTAATGGCTTTGAACTTGAATGCAAATTGTTGTTAATTAATTAATGCAAAACTGTTGAAACTCTTGGCGGCAAGTGGCACACGCGGCACATCCTCATCCGGGGGTTGTCTAATGGCTGCACGGCCACGCCCCCTCTTGTTGCCACACGCCCATTGGAAGCAATTGAACTCATTTGAGCTGCGCATTTCGCCATTAATTGAGCGATTTCCCTGCCAGGCAAAAATCATTCAATTGATTAAATCATTTCCATGCGCATTTGAATTGCAGTCGATTGGATCAGCAGCAACAGCAACATTGAACTGTGGTTTGCCGCATGCAAAGTGACGATCAGCAGTTGTTATACCCTGCGAAGGTTGGGCAAACAGGGCATATGGAGCCTGTGGTAGGTATGTGACATTGAACATATTTTGAAAAGCGATTAGGGGCATTATCAGGAAAGAAATATTGGAAAACTTTTTTCTTTGGACTTCTATCAAATCTGACATTTAAGAATTTTATGTAAAAATCTTTAAAATTATTCTAAATTAAGGCATAGTACGAAATGTGACAAGGAGTAAAACAATTTTGATCAGGTTCTGAAATATAGTTCACAATAGTATAATTATATATTTTTAATCTCTTTTCCTCTGCTGTGAGTTTTTATACATTTGACTTGAAAATGGACTTTCCACTCTAATTTGCCGTACAGCCAATTTTCTAGTGAGACTACCAGTCAAATATAGATTATCCCAGACCTGAGTGAAGCATTTCTCTAGAGTATTCCTCGTTTATTTATTGAGCCTATTCGCATTTCAAAGTAAAGCCACGTAGAAATGAGCTGGACTTTAGTAAAATAAATAGAGCGCTTGGTACGTCAGCAATCACTAGAGTAAGACATATAATACAATATACATATATAGAGACTATATAGGCATCGAATAAACAAATCTAGAATTTTTACTGAGTGCAATTCGAGTGGAAATGCTTCACATGCGTTTTGCATACACTCTATAAAGACGTAATAAGCTTGACGATCAGTCAACTGTAAATCGAGCTATATATGTGTATATAGTATATAAATTGGTTTTCCTGATTTTTCGAAATGCGTTAAATGCTATTCGAATTTTATGTAATATAATAGTACTTAATCATTATATTTGATTGCATATTCTCTGGGAAGCACGAGAATCAGATTACTATATTAAATAACTATTGGAAACTATTTAGTAATATGGGTTATATGGTTCATAGAATGCAAACAAAACTATATTATTTAGTTTATGAATAGTTTAGCTATGATTCAATTACCTTAAATCATTTTAAGCACAATCTTTTTATTTTTATGAAGCTTTTAGATTATCTTTGTACATAATTTTTTTTTTTTTTTTAATTTTCACATTTCTCAATCTAGTAATCACTTAAGAAGTTCTTAAATTCCTATTGAATATCGAAAATATGTATTACAAGTTGAGATGGATTTTGGAATCACTTAAATTCGAGACATTCGAGATTCCTCACACTTCTACAGTTAACTATTTGATGAACTCTTCTTCAATGTCTGGTACAACCTCTACTCCAAAAGGGTGTTTAGCCATTCGGTTATAGCGCTTCTCTTCATATGACGTTGACGTTCTTTGTTATGACATACATGTATATATGTATGTACATTGTTAATTTTATTTTGTAACAAGACATCAATCAAAATTGAACTCTCAGCAATCAGCAGACGCTCGAACTGCGAATAATATGGATGGATTTTAAATGTGGTTTGTGACTCGAACTTCCCTTTTCTTCTTGTTGTTTCGCTTAATGATCAGTTTCAAATAAGTTATATTGTTTTTAATATATGTATTTATTTTTAATTTTTATTTCTATTTTGACGTTGGCAACAACAAGCAACAACAAGTTCTTTGAAATTGTGAAATACATGTATATGTATGTGCGTACATATATTATTTATATACTAGATAGGCCCCATTAGGGGGCCCGGCTGCTGCTGTTGACGCAAAACAAAGCAAAAAAAAAAAAAAAAAACTGCAAACAAGTCGCACGTATTTCAGACGTAACAAAAATAGACAGATCAGAACATATGTAAGCTATGTGTATTTGTCAAATATAAATGATATACTTATGCACGTAAATCTTATATGCAAATATAGAATTTGGCAATAGTAAAAAAATTAAATTAAATGAAAAATATGTTTAAAAAAAAAAAAAAAAAAAAAAAAAAAAAAAAAAAAAAAAAAAAAAATATTTCAAATTGGATAAAAAAAAAAAAAAAAAAAAAAAAAAAAAAAAAAAAAAAAAATCTCATAAATATACTCCAATATTATTTATGAATATAGTCAACAATTGTACGATAACTATTATAATTAATATAACATTATTTTTGTAGCTGGACCAGAGCAATAACAGCGATAAAAATCGCTTTATCAAAGAAAAACAATTTAAATGAATAAATAACTAAAAAATATTAATAAAGTAATATTTTGCGTCCATCATGAGGCCAACTCAATGAGGCAATCGCTTAAGAGGTTTAACACTGACTCTTGCTAAGAACAATCCATTAGCAAAAAATAAAAATAATTTTAACCTTTAGCATAGTATTAATTTTTATTTTTCAATTTATTTTGACCTATTCTCTTCACTATAACACTAAAATCTCATAAAGTTGCCATAACAGTTAAGGCATGAAATTTGTCTTAATTAAGCGTAACAAGCTGGTAGCAATGACCATAAGAAAACCATAAAACGTAGTCGAAAAAAATTAAGGTGCCCAAACGTGTAATCAAGTCACCCTCGCTGTCGCGACCTCTTAGTGTCCAATGTCCGCAGAGCGAAGAGCTTTGCAGCTCACGACTGAACAAATATTTTTTCTTAAGTGTATACAGCATACTTACGCGCATAGCCAGGCGCAATAATAGTAAAGAAAGGCATAAGGATAGAGCATAAAATATTTGCAAATGCCGTTGCTGAGCAGAAATGTTACCTATTAAATAAAATGTTTAAACATGTAATCAAAGCACCCCTTGCACCTTGTGCTGATTCAATGCAAATAGCAAAAGCAAGTTGCAGAAAGATCACCTCTTCTTCTCTTCCTCTCGATTCGCCGGCACTTAAGCTTTATTTCTTTCAGCTTACCTAACTTTTTCTCTAGAGTGTATCCACAAGAAACCATCATTTCACGCACACACATTTGAGAGCGCACCACAAAGGAGGCTCGTCTCATGGCAGAGCTGCGACTGCGCAGTTTACCCAAAAAAGAGAGAAGACTCAAAGTGGAACTTCTGCACGCGTAGCTGCATCTCTTTCTGCCTAGCCAAAAGCTTTGCTGCCGAAAAACAGTTTCAACTTTCTTGCTCCCAGTATGACCACAAAAGAGACAACAAGAAATGTGCCATACATTCACAAACACGCATACACATTAGCTTGTGATGGCCACTTGACGCACTGCGCAGCGAAGGAGGCTCGTCGCTTGATGGCGCTGCGCTGCGACTGCTCAGTCAGCTTAATGCTGACCAAACAATGTGAAATCGTGACTGAAGTGCAGGGGTGTCATTTTAGCTTTTTTCCCGTCAAATCTGGCTTTATTTGAAGTCCCAATGCGGGAAAAATTTGAAAACGGCGGGTTGCGGGAATTCTGGCTTTAAAAAAATTAATTTAGCTCTATTTTAGCTTTATTTAATTTTCACGATTTATTTTGCTTTTTATCTTTCTCAACACTAAAAATCATGAATACAAGTATCGATACATGATTTTATATCATACAATCTATCGAAATCATTTCGTGGTATGAGCAACAGGTCTTCTTTGTCAACAAAAAAACACTAACGTGCACGAATTGGATGGGCACAGAAAGAAAAAATTGATTTTGGGAAAACTCCAACAAAAACCATAGCAACAACCAACAGCACATTTCCTCTATGTGGCAAATCACACATCATCATCAAAAACCTAGGTACTCTCCGCCAAAAAAAAATTATGCGACAGCATGAGCGTTTAGCGATTTAAACTACGCCGTATTAAATGTACAGTATAATTAAACATTCGTTGGCTCCTCATTTTCTGGAGGATCTTAGAAATAAGATTGGAAGCGTTAAATTTATTTTGGTTTTGGACAAATCAAGTGACAAAGCGGCTCGGTAAATAACAATTATTTATTAAACACCTGATCTCTCTTTAAAAGATTGAATACTTTATAATTTGTATATATGTATATGCATATACATATATCTATAATTTCTACGTTAATGGTTTTAGGTGTCGTTATTAAATACGTCTCTGTTGAGAGTGGAGTGATGATTTCGACGTTCCTGATTTTAATATTTCTCTTGAAAGTGGAGATTCCTTGTCTATAGTTGAAGGAATCAAACAATTAAAAACAAATGAATAATCATAAATGAATTTAATTAAGAAAATAGTGTTTTTTAAACCCAGCTTTTATTTTGGCTTATTTTTTCTTGAATTTAGCTTCTTTTAGCTTCTTATTTTTGCCAATCTGGCTCTATTTGCTCGAAAAATTATGACAGCACTGCTGAAGTGGCCTCCTCGAGTGGCGAACAACGTCAGCGCCGCTGTTTCTGTTGCTGTTGACCGTTGAGCAAGCACAGCTACGCACACTCAGCATACACG